GAAATAGAAATGGTAACTTCGACGGGTCTGAGTATTTGGCTTTACCGGTAAGTGCGACTGATCGCCGGAGCTCCGATCATCTTCCTCGTTTCGCGTATTTATATATCTGTAAATGAATTTGGAGGGTCGATGTTGAAAAGCATATCTCATATCTCTATTAAGAGCTTGAGGTGCTTTAGCTCTGTTTCACCATTTGTACTGAAACACGAGCTTGTTGAAGGATTGCGTACGTTAGTGAGGTCTGGTGATCTCCGACGAGCTTTTTCGTTGTTCTATTGTGCGCCGGTCGAGCTTCAGTCTCAGCAAGCTTACGCTGCTCTGTTTCAAGGTTGTGCAGAACAACGAAATCTCAGCCATGGAAATAGCTTACATCACCACATGCTCTCACATCCTCATTCTTATTCCCGAGACCTTTTTCTTGCTAATCATCTCATTACTATGTATGTGAAATGCGGAAATATCTTATACGCACGCAAGGTGTTTGAGAAAATGCATGAGAGGAATGTAGTTTCGTGGACTTCATTGATTACAGGCTATGCACAGGCAGGGAACGAGCAAGAGGGATTCTGTCTTTTATCGGCTATGTTAGCACATTGCTGTCCTAATGAGTTTGCGTTGTCGAGCGTGTTGACTTCGTGCTGGTATGAGCCTGGCAAGCAGGTACACGGGCTTGCTTTGAAATTGGGGTTACATTGTTCGATTTATGTGGCGAATGCGCTTATCTCTATGTACGGTAGGTGTCGTGATGGTGGGGCCGCATATGAGGCTTGGACTGTGTTTGAGGCCATGGAGTTTAAGAATTTGGTTACTTGGAATTCAATGATTGCAGCTTTTCAGTGCTGCAATCTCGGGAAACAGGCCATTGGCGTTTTTATGCGGATGCACAGCGATGGAGTCGGATTTGATCGTGCCACATTGCTTAATATATGTTCTTCCTTGTACAAAAGCTCTGACTTAGTTCGTGATGAGGTTTCAATGTGTTGTCTGCAGCTGCATTCTCTGAGTGTAAAATCCGGGTTTGTAACTCAGACTGAAGTGGCTACTTCATTGGTTAAAATTTATTCAGAAACTTTAGGAGACTTTACTGAATGCTACAAGCTATTTATGGAAATGAGCCAGTGCAGGGACATTGTTGCTTGGACTGGGATTATAACAGCGTTTGCAGTGTATGATCCAGAAAGGGCTATTCTTCTTTTTGGTCAGTTACGCCATGACAAACTAAGCCCTGACTGGTATACTTTCTCTAGTGTGCTAAAAGCTTGTGCGGGACTTGTCACTGCTCGCCACGCTTTGACTATACACGCTCAAGTGATCAAGGGTGGTTTTGAGGCTGACACAGTACTGAACAACTCGTTGATCCATGCATATGCCAAGTGTGGTTCTCTTGACTTGTGTAAACGTGTATTTGATGGTATGGATTCACGGGATGTGGTGTCGTGGAATTCAATGCTCAAGGCTTACTCATTGCATGGCCAAGTAGACTCAATTCTACCGGTCTTTCACCAAATGGACATCAAGCCTGATTCAGCGACCTTCATCGCCCTTCTCTCGGCTTGCAGCCATGCCGGACGAGTAGAAGAAGGAATGAAAATATTCAGATCCATGTTTGAGAAACCTGAAACTCTTCCTCAGCTACATCACTACGCTTGTGTGATCGACATGCTAGGTCGAGCTGAGCGTTTTACTGAGGCAGAAGAGGTTATAAAACAGATGCCAATGGATCCAGATGCTGTAGTTTGGAGTGCATTATTGGGATCATGCAGGAAACATGGTAACACCAGGTTAGGTAAGTTAGCGGCAGAGAAACTGAAAGAGCTAGAACCCACAAACTCGTTGAGTTACATACAGATGTCAAACATATACAGTGCAGAAGGTAGCTTTAACGAAGCCAATAAAAGCAGAAAGGAGATGGAGACATGGAGAGTGAGGAAAGAACCAGGCTTGAGCTGGACCGAGATAGGAAACAAGGTTCATGAATTCGCATCAGGAGGACGGCGCCGTGCAGACAGGGAAGCCATATACAGTGAATTGGAGAGGCTAATTGGTCGGTTAAAGGAGATGGGTTATGTTCCAGAGATGAGATCAGCTTTACAAGATATAGAAGAGGAAGAACAGAAGGAAGAACATTTGTCACATCACAGCGAGAAACTTGCATTAGCGTTTGCGGTAATGGAAGGACGAAAATCAGGTGATTGTGGTGTGAATTTGATACAGATAATGAAGAACATAAGGATTTGCATTGATTGCCATAACTTCATGAAATTAGCCTCTAAGCTTTTGGGAATAGAGATTCTTGTAAGAGACTCGAATCGGTTTCACCATTTCAAAGATTCTTCTTGCTCCTGTAATGACTACTGGTAATCGCCGACGATGAGAAGGATTTTTTTATGTTACTTTCGTCTCAAGACAAGAACAAGGACTGGTTTGGTAAATAAATAAAATGATT